AGTAAAGGTATTGGGGGGTGGAGGGGGGGGGGGTACAGCGCTTCCTGTTCTCGCGGGAGCTAGAGGCGGGACTGCCACGTCCAAGCAAACCGGGAAAGGAGCGGATCCCGGAGCCGGTGAGAAAGCCCCGCTTTTCCCTACCATTCTTTTCAGGCCTTTCCCTTTACCTAGTGGGTCATAGAGACGAAGGGCCAGAGAGTCTGTAAAGGGACGGATCGAAGCCTAGAGTGGTGTCCTGCGGGCCCTACATCCGGGAGGGGGTTTGGGATGAAAAGAACGAGTCTTGGGAACAATGCGGGTGGGGACCGAATGGAATGGGGGAGCGGCCCATAGAGGTGGGCGGAGGGCGCGAGTGCAGTAAAGCGAACCCCACGCAGGCATAGAGTTGACATCAAGTGGAATCACACTGTCTCTGTCCCTCTGGTCAGCATGATGGCCAGAGGCCTGGGGCCCCCCCACTGGGTGATCGTGGGACTGCTTACCTGGGCGGCCTTGGGACTGCTGGTGGCCGGACACGGTGGTCAAGGCGACCCGCACGAGGACCTGCAAGAGGACTTCCATGGCCACAGCCACAAGCACTCACATGAGGATTTCCATCATGGACATAGCCATGCCCACGGCCATGGCCACACTCACGAGAGCATCTGGCACGGACATACCCACGGTCATGGCCATGGACACTCACATGAGGATTTGCACCATGGCCACAGTCACGGCCACTCCCACGAGAGCCTCTACCACAAAGGACATGGACAGGACCATGAGCATAGCCATGGAGGCTACGGGGAGTCTAGGGCTCCAGGCATGAAGCAGGACCTGGACACCGTCACTCTCTGGGCCTATGTGAGTCCTCAGGGGATGGGGGACAGGGGAATTGGTTCTGGAGTGTTGGGAAACCCCACACCAATTGACCGCGACTCTCCTGCACCAGGCACTGGGGGCCACCGTGTTGATCTCTGCAGCTCCGTTTTTCGTCCTCTTCCTTATCCCTGTGGAATCCAACTCCCCCCGCCATCGCTCCCTGCTCCAGATCTTGCTCAGCTTCGCATCTGGTGGGCTCCTGGGAGATGCCTTTCTGCACCTCATCCCTCATGCCCTGGGTGAGTAACATCTAACTTCTTCCTCAAATTTTGACCTATGTTATTCTTAGGGGGGAAAAGTAGTCCTTTCTCCTTTCAGATCCTTGGCCTTCCAGAATTCCACCAAATACACAGCCCTCATTTTTCTTTTTCCCCTCTTCCAGAACCCCATTCGCACCACACCTGGGAGCAGTCTGGACATGGACATTCCCATAGTGGTGAGGAAGAGACAGATGGGGACTGGGGTTGGTGTGCTGGCCCAGGTCTGTGTCTGCCGTCTCCCCTAACGTTTCGGTGCTTCCATTCCCAGGCCAGGGCCCCATTCTGTCTGTGGGGCTGTGGGTTCTTAGTGGAATCGTCGCCTTCCTGGTGGTGGAGAAATTTGTGAGACATGTGAAAGGAGGACACGGACACACTCACAGTCACACACACGGAAATCACGGGCATGGAAAACAAGGTGAGCCCAGGAACAGCTTTACTGAAAGCCATATGCCTGCCTCAGAGTCCCGCTCTTAGAACTCTCGGGTGGGAGGGGCTTCCCTTTGAGGACAGGTCACATGATCTGTTCCCTCCTTTGACCGAATCCTTTCTTCCCTCAGAGCGCTCTTCAAAGGAAAAGCAGAGCTCAGAGGAAGAAGAAAAGGAAGCAGGAGGATTGAGGAAGAGGAGAGGAGGCAACACAGGACCCAAAGATGGGCCAGTGAAACCTCAGAACCCTGAAGAAGAAAAAACTGGCTCAGGTGAGGGCCAGGGCAAGGGGCATCATTGTGAATCACACGGGATCTATGCTGTGGGCAGTGGCAGGTGTCTGGGCAACACCGAGGGGCTGGTGGGGAAGCTGTGAGAATGGCTGAGCAGGACTAGGCCTCTGGGGTACCAGATGTCTCTGACCAGTTTGTTTTCCATTCCTATACAAGACCTGCGTGTCTCCGGGTACCTGAATCTGGCTGCTGACCTGGCACACAACTTCACAGACGGTCTGGCCATTGGTGCTTCCTTTCGAGGAGGCCGAGGGCTGGGGATCCTGACCACAATGACTGTCCTGCTGCACGAAGTGCCCCATGAGGTCGGGGACTTTGCCATCTTGGTCCAATCTGGCTGCAGCAAAAAGCAGGTTGGTGGTGATGTCCACCAGTCATGGTTCCCTCCGACCCTTACTTACCCCAGCCCCAAGACTGCCTGTCACTAATCCCAAACAGTGATGCTGTCATTGATAACAAACCCTAGAAGTGAGAGGAAAGAGGTTCTGTTTCTTTATCCTGGAGCCCCGTAGTTTTGAACTGTGGTCATGAACCATCTGAATAGTTTGTGGGAGTCTTACACACCCCTGTTAAATCTGAAGATCTGTGAAAAAGACCTCTCTGATCTCTAAGATTTTTTTTTTTAAATCTATTCTAGACCCCTACACACATCTTTTTTGTCTTGCTTTTTAGTTTCCAAAGACATGGACCATACACCTGTACCCCACCAGGCATGTTTAAACCGCTGATAATCTTTACCTGTTTGTAAGTGTCTCTCTCTTTTCTGCCCCCCCCCGCCCCCAGGCGATGCGGCTACAACTGCTGACAGCAATCGGGGCACTGGCAGGCACCGCCTGTGCCCTCCTAACGGAAGGAGGTGCCGTGGGCAGTGAAGTTGCAGGTGGTGCAGGCCCCGGCTGGATACTGCCGTTCACTGCAGGTGGCTTTATCTATGTAGCAACGGTGTCCGTGTTGCCCGAGCTGCTGAGGGAAGCGTCGCCGTTGCAGTCACTGCTGGAAGTGTTGGGGCTGCTGGGAGGAGTTGTCATGATGATTCTGATTGCCCACCTCGAGTGAGAGGGGGAGAAACTGCCCCACCTCTGCCCCCATCTCCAGGTCTGGAGGTTGTCTCCGGCCAAGGACATCTCCCAAAAGGAGTTGTAGCCTAGGAGAATGGTGGCGTTGGCATTAGGACCAGCAAGGTTTGGCAGTCTTACAGAGGTGAGACCACGAGGAGCATCGTGTTGGCTGCTACCTGACCATATGGTTGGTTTTGGAAGGCTAAATGGGGCCATGAAGAAAGCTGGAAGGGCGAGGAGTGATGGCAGCTTACCTGGTGTTCCCTACCCCACCTGTTGTCAGAGGATCAAGCTGTCAAACACAGAACTCTCCAGAATCTACCTCCCTCTTCCCAGCCATTGGTAGAGGCTTCAGGGTAGGCCAGAGCCCTGGACAAAGGGGAATAAGGGGAGGATTCAGGGGTAAACATCAATCGTGTGTCCTGATTTGGGAGTGATGGGGAAATGAGGGGTGGGAGAGGGTTAGTTGGTAATCTCATTGCCTGATTTTTTTGTTTTCTATTCTTTTTATATCACTGTGTTTGAATTGAGGGGGAGGAGGGTGGTGACCGGAAATAAAGTACTCGGATCTTCCGCCTCACATGCAGTCTTTGTCTTTTTGGGGGGAACGGGCCCCTTGTCGCTCCCGGCTCCCTAGCCCGGAGCTGTGCAGTCTGGCCACGCCCCCGCAGTGGGAGGTCGGCCGGCGCTGGTGGCCGCAGCTGGCCTGGGCTGGCCGTGCTCCGATTGGCCCTGGTTTGGCCTTCGCCACGCCCCCGTGCTCGGATTGGTTCGGTGCCGAGGTGCCCGCCCACTCAGCCCGCCATGGCGTCTCAGCTCCGGCTCCGCTCCGCGCTGGCCCTGGTCACAGGTTGAGGGGGTGCTCTCGCAGGGCGGGTTAACGTGCCAGAGAAATGTCAGGGGTGCGCGCTCCGCCCTGCGGCCGCTGTGCCCTCTGGCCCCGTGTCCGAATTCTAACTCTGCGCCCGTGACCTCTGACCCCTCCCACTTTCTTGCCCACCCACCCCCACCCGGTTCTCTTACACTTCAGGTGCGGGCAGCGGCATCGGCCGGGCGGTCAGCGCGCGGCTGGGAAGGGGCCGCCGTGGCCGCCTGCGACCTGGACGGGGCAGCAGCACGGGAGACCGTGCGGCTGCTGGGAGGGCCGGGGAGCGAGGAGGGGGCGCCCGGCAGGAAGCACGCCGCCTTCCAGGCCGATGTGTCTGAGGCCAAGGCCGCCAGGCGCCTGCTGGAACAAGTGCAGGTGAAGGCCGGGACCGCGCCCCCTTACCTCTCTGCCTGCCCGTCCTGCGCGCGCACGCCCCTGCGGGTGTTTTTCGTTTTGTTGCCTTTTTTTTTTTTCCTTGGTGTGTAACCTCCGCCTCCCATAGGCCTGCTTTTCTCGCCCGCCATCTGTCGTTGTGTCCTGTGCGGGCATCACCCGGGATGAGTTTCTGCTCCACATGTCTGAGGATGACTGGGACAGAGTCATAGCTGTCAATCTCAAGGTGGTGACCTCTGAACCCAGGACTTGTGGCCCCTTAGCCTGGGGAGAGATGTGGAGGAGAGCACCCCAGCTGATCCCTGCCTCGACCCTCTCCCGACAGGGCATCTTCCTAGTCACCCAGGCGGCAGCCCAAGCCCTGGTGTCCAGTGGTTGTCATGGCTCCATCATCAACATCAGTAGCATCGTGGGGAAGGTCAGGTTGAGCTGGGGTGAGCCCACCAGGTGGACATAGAGAGGAGAACCCCTTCTTGAGACTTCTGACTCACCCCAGATTTGACTCACCTGTAGGTGGGGAACATGGGGCAGACAAATTATGCCGCCTCCAAAGCTGGAGTGGTGGGGCTGACCCAGACTGCGGCCAAGGAGCTGGGCAGGTTGGTCACCAGGGAGCACTGGCAGGCTTTGCAGGCCAGGTGGGCGTCTGAGGGAGGGGTCCGTGTTCAGGCCTCTCAGTCAGCAGCCACTCTCCCTCCCACAGACACGGCATCCGCTGTAACTCTGTCCTCCCAGGGTTCATTGCAACACCCATGACACAGAAAGTGCCACAGAAAGTGTTGGACAAGGTAGGAGGCTGGGTGAAGGGCAGAAGCATTGAGAGACCTGACCTCTCTGGGCTTCAGAGAATGCTAGGCACAGCGCCTGGCACACAGTAGGTCTTCCATCAATGCATTCGGGATGAAGACCAAAGACAAAGGTCACAAATAGTCTTTTAAAATCCATAAAGAGGGAACCAGCAGTTAGCGTAATGGCTATGTCGTTGGACTCCCACATAGTCGACCGCGGTTCGCGTCCTGGACCTGGTGGCTTAAAACTCACGCCGGGCGCATGTGCGTGCGTGCCCAAGATCCCGAGAGGAGAATGGAGGAGAAAGGATTGAGGCGTGACCATCCCCTCTGGGGGGTGATTGCTCGCTTTCTGTCTCTATGTCTCTGTCTGTCTGGCGAGCGCACGTGTCCTATAGCGAAAACCTCGCCAAAAAAAAAAAATCCATAAAGACACTTTCACCTACATGTATTTCCTTACAGGTGACCAGAATGATCCCAATGGGACACTTGGGGGCCCCTGAGGGTGAGCACTGAGTGGGGAGGGAGCCTGAACGAAGATATCCCGGGGTCTGGGGTGTTCCTGAGAGGTTTGCTGGTTGCTTTGTACGTGTTTGGGAGGAATAGGATGGCCGTGGGCTATGGGGGTGAGTAGGAGCCCACCTTCTCCCCACCGTCCCACAGATGTGGCAGATGTGGTTGCATTCTTGGCATCTGAAGACAGCGGATACATCACCGGAGCCTCAGTGGAAGTCACTGGTATGAGGCCGGCTTGGGGGGAGAGGGCAGAAGGCGGAACCCAGACCGTGAGACAGCAGGCGGGGGAATCTGGAAGTGCGGCCAGGGCAGAGGTGTCTGAAGCCAGGGCAGGAGTGGGCACCCCCACCCACTGGTCTCTCCACCCGCGCATCTGTCCAAATGTTCCTGCCCTTCCCAGGAGGTCTTTTCATGTGACGGCCTCAAGGACCCTGGACTCTGCTCACTCTCCCACCACTCCGCACAGCCTCCTGCTGACGAGGACTCTTAAGTTCCCAGGCTACAAAAGGGGTGGCAGTGTATGGCTCACAGGGGTGCTGAATATGGGAGGCAGGGGTGCTTGTGACCCTAATAAATTCCAAATCCTCTTCCCTGCCACCTCCGGTTCTTCTTGTGTCCAAGCTCTCAGACCCTTCCCCACCTCCCCCTCCTTTCCCTTTCCCGAAGGATTGTTCCCTTTCACTGCCTGGTCTCCCAGGGCAACCCCCGCCGCCGG